GCGGCGGAGCTGCGAGGGGCACGGCCAGTGCACCGCCGCTCCAGGGGGCGCCCCCGCTGCTGCGCCAGGGCGGGGTCGCACGCCACGGCCTGCGCCGCCAAGGTTGGGGGCAACCGAGGCTCCATCCGCGAGGCCCACGCCCAGCCGCCCAGCAACGGCTGCCAGCCCCAGCGCGACTCGCGGCGGCGTGGGGACGCCCCTGGAGCCGTGCACGTGCGCGCCCGCCGCGGCCGCCAGGCACGCCCCTACGCGGCCCGCGACGCAGGGCAGCCAGCGCTGCCTCTCCGCGGCCGAGAAGAGATCCTCCTCGTAGCCGTCGTCGCCCTGGGCCAACGTGCACACGTGGCCCCCACCATCTGGGATCAGGATGATGATGCGCTCGCGCAGCACGCCTGGGAAGCCCGTGTACTCCAAGAGAGAAGTCCCACTCCTGCAGCCCAGCTGCCACAAGCGGGTGAGCCCCCGCAGCCGCCACGCTCAGCGCGTCATCTGGGTCGTCGAAGCGCGGGGCTGCCACCTGGGCCGCTGCCGCCTCAGACGGCGAGGACGGGGCGGCCACGGCAGGCAGCGCAGGCAGCCTCTGCGGGGCGGCAGCGGCAGCGGCCTGGGCTCCCGCTCTGGCCTTGCCCCGCGAGCACGCTCAGGTGCCCACCACCGCCAGTCAGGCTGGCGAGCCAGGCGAAGGCAACCGCCACAGTGCCAGGCGTGGCCGCCTCGGCGTGGCTGCCTCCCGGGCAGACCAGCCGCGGCTCGCACTGGCAGGTGCAAGCCAGGGAAGGCGGCGCCGAGGGGCACTGCGCACCCCAAGCCGCGCCCCAGGCCGCCGCGCCCGCTGCAAACCCCCTGGCAGCCTTCCGCAGCAGCCAGGGCGCCGGGTCCGTGCAGGCCCGGCACGGAAGCCCGTGGGGCCTCGGAGCCTTGAGCATGTCGGCCGAGGACCGGTACGACCGCCTGCTTGCTGCTTCCTCGCTCCCAGATCTGGGCCAGAGACATCGAGATATCGGTTCGCGGTCAACATCTGGGCCCCCTGTTGGGGCGCTCTTGGGGCACTTGGGCTGTCTGGGGAGCCTCCTGGGACGTCTTGGGGCCATCTTCGGGGCCTCGTGGGCCGTCTTGGAGCGATCTGAAGGGCCTCCGAGGCTGCGAGGGAGCGTCGGGAAGCGGGAAAAGCGAGAACGTCAAGATCCGCTAAAAACCTTCTGAACATATATGAATGTTGTCTCCGAGGGCCCTCTTCGGGAGCTTCTTGAGGCCGTCCTGGAGCGTGTTGGTGTCCTCGTCGGTCGCTTTGAAGGCATCTTGGGAGTCTTCGGCGCCTCTTGGGACTGCCTTGGGCCCTCTTGGGACCCCCTTGGCCTGTCGTGGCCCGTTTCGGCGCGGGCCCGGCCTTCTCGGGAGCTCTGGGACCCCCGCAGAACCCCCAGGGGGCGCCCATGGAGGGCACAGGCGCCGGCCTTGCCCCTCCCGACTTGGGGCCCTCTTCGGGTGCTGCAGGGCCGTCTTGGCGGCCATCTTGGGCGTCTTGGAGGCCTCTTGGGCCGTCTTGGAGCTCTTTGGGGGGCCGTCTTGGGTCTTGGGGGCCTCTCGGGCCGTTCTGGGACCATCCTGGAAGCCTCTTGGGCGATCTAGGAGCAATCTTCGGGGGCTCTCGGGCCGTCTCGGGCCGTCGGAAGGCGGAAAAGAAGCAAATGCAAAAATCCTTCAAAAACCTAAGGGAAATCAACGATGTTGGCCTTTTCGGGCCTTCCTGGAGGCCCTCTTGGAAGCCTCCTAGGCCGTCTTGGACCATCGTAAAGCCATCTTGGGCCGTCTTGGTGGGCTCCTGGCCCGTCTGACGCCGACTTGGGGCCCTCTTGGGGTGCTCCAGGGCCGTCTTGGAGGCAATCCTGGGCGTCTTGGAGGCCTCTTGGGCCATCTTAGGGCCCATTTGGGCCGTTTTGGGGGCCTCTTGGCTCGTTCTGGGGCCACCCTGGAAACCTCTTGGGCAATCTTGGGGCGATCTTTGGGGGTTCTTGAGCTGTCTCGGGCCGTGGGAAAGCCGAAAAGAAGCAAGTGCCAAAATCCTGCAAAAACCTAAGGGAAATCAATGATGTTGGCCTCTTCGGGCCTTCCTGGAGGCCCTCTTGGAGGCCTCCTGGGCCGTCTTGGGCCATCTTAAAGCCATCTTGGGCAGTCTTGGTGGGCTCTGAGCCCGTCTGACGCCGACTTGGGGCCCTCCTGGGGTGCTCCAGGGACGTCTTGGAGGCCATCTTGGGCGTCTTGGAGGCCTCTTGGGCTGCTTGGGGCCCTTTGGGGGCCGTCTTGGGGGCGTCTTGGGCTGTTTGGGAGCCATCCTGGAAACCTCTTGGGCGATCTTGGGGCGATCTTTGGGGGCTCTTGGGCCGTCTCGGGCCGTCGAAGGCCAAAAAGAAGCAAATGCCAAAATCCTTCAAAGACCGAAGGAAACTCAATGATGTTGGCCTCTTCGGGCCTTCCTCGAGGACCATCTTACAGCCGTCTTGGGCCGTCTTGGTGGGCTCCTGGCCCGTCTGACGCCGTCTGAGGCTATCTTGGCGGCCTCTCTGGGCCGACTTGGGGCCCTCTTGGGGTGCTCCAGAGCGTCTTGGAAGCTTCCTTGGGCGTCTTATAGGCCTCCTGGGCAGTTTTGGACCGGGAACGGGGGCCCTGGAGCCCCTGTCCCCCAATGACCCCCAGTTATGTGTGTATACATATATATATACACATATATATATATATATGTATATATACATATATATACACACATATATACATATATAAATATATATATATATATACATATATATATATATATTCTCATACGCACCTCTCCGAGGGAGTAGAGCTCAGAGGCGATTAATGCGCACGCGTCCGCGATTTTTCTGGGCGTTTCGCTCGGGACATCCTCGAAATTCTGAAAATCGGTGGCACCCCTCACGCAGATCGCGACGTCAGGGTCCAAAAACACATGGGAAATTCCACCTTTTAACATAAAACCTTCAAAAACACATTGTAAGTTCAATAATTGTGACCCCGATTCTCAGTGAATGGCGGTTTCGCTTGAAAAATCCTTCCAAAATCTAGCCCCAGACCCCGCCTCGGAGCCTCCTGGGGGCCTCCTGGAACCTCCTGGGGCCTCCTGGGCCTTCTGAACCTTCTGGCACCCCAGACCCCGCCTCGGAGCCTCCTGGGGGTGTCCTGAAACCTCCTGGGGCCTCCTGGGGCCTCCTGCGGCCTCCTGGAGCCTCTTGGGGCCTCCTGAAGCCTCCTGGGGTCTCCTGGGGCCTCCTGAGGCCGCCTGGGGCCTCCTGGGGCCTCCTGGGGCTTCAGAACTACATGCACACAGAGACACAAATCACGCCCAACACATCACACGCTAGACAAACATAACACACACACACACACACACACACACACACACACACACACACACAACACCTACAACACACAAAAAGCACGCACCACACGAAGCATACATCACAAACACACACACACACACACACACACACACACACACACACACGCACAACACCCACAACACTCACAATCCTGGGGCCTCCTGGAGCCTCTTCTGGTATCCAAGTCGGGCCTCATAAGGCTTCCTGGGGGCCCTGGTACACACATCGGAAGGTGTGGCAACCCCACTTGCGCTCGAGTGCGACTTCGATGTTGCATTTCACTCCTGCTTCAAACGCCCCTTCAGTTTTTTGTATGAGCCTGGGCACACACGTGCCACGTATATCTATATATATGTGTATATATATGCGAGTATACAAATCTATACATATATATATGTGTGTACACATATATGTATGTATGTATGTATGTATGTATGTACGTATGGTTGTATGTATGTATGTGTGTTTGTATGTGTAGATAGATATGGATGTGCATACATACCTACATACATACACACATTTCTGCGTATATGCATATATGCATACATACACACATACATAGATGCATACAGACATACATACATACATGCATGCATACATACAGACATGCATGCATGCATGCACGCGTATGTGTATATATATATAAATATATATACGTACATACATACACATACACATACATGCATACATACATGTATATATATACATGCATGCATACATGAATACATGCATACATATATACACAAACATACATGTATACATATACATGTATATAGGTATAGACACCAGCAAATACAAATGCATATACCTAAACATATACATGTACATAGACATATGCATGAACGAAGACAGATGCATAAACATATATATAGGTATGCACATATACATAAACGCATACACATACACAAACATATACATGTACCTATACATATACATATACATATACATATACATAAACATATACATATACATATGCATATACATACAGACAGACAGACTGACATACAGACATGCACACACATGTAATATATATAATATGTGGCTACAAACATACATACATACAGACATGCATACCTAAATACATACCTACATACATGTACATAAACATATAGCTGCATATATACATACATACATGCATATATATATATATATATATATATATATATATACAGATGTGTATCACCATCGCCATCCTCGTCTACATCGCCATCAATGTCGGCGTAGTACTCACCGTCATCATGTCACCACCATGTCGTCATCACCACCACATCAAGCATACCAGATCGATCCCTGTTAATTACTCTTCGAGTTCGTGCTCGTCCTCCTCCTCATCCTCCTGCTCCTCCTCATGCTGCTCCTCCCCACCAACATCATCATCATCAGCATCATCAGCATAATATCAGCAGCAGCATCAGCAGCAGCATCATCAGCAGCAGCATCTTCATCAGAGAGAGGCTGTACACGAAAACCCCGTCAACACTAGATGAGCTGCCGCAATGTAGAAGCCCCTGAACAGCACATGCCCGGTCACAATACCCTGGGAGGGATGCGCTGACATGCACGATGTGCCCAGCCCCTGACATCCCAGACAAGACAGGCGCAGACCTCTCGTTGTACGTGACGAAGCTGACCAAAAGCCTAGAGATGTCCGGGTCGTCCCACTTGGCTTGGTCCCCGGCGCCGTTCTGGCGGCCCACGGCGGCAGGGCGCGCAGAAGACGCGTGGCCCGCGGCAACACGGGGCGCCTCGCTTCCTTGCCGTCGCTCGGCCGTCCATTACTCGTGCAAATGTTTCGATGTCGTGTACTTACTTGTTCACAAGATGATCCACGATGCTCCTCGATGGTCCTCGCCGAGAAAAATTGTACACGTCCGAGCGATGCCGAGGTGAAGGAGGAGTCGAGGAGTGGGAGGGGGAGGGGGGGGAGCGGGGAGCGGGGAGGCAGGCGAAGTGATGGGGGAGAGGCTAAAACATCGACGGAGGGTGAACGAAGGCCTGGCCCCAAGAGAGCTGCCGCCGCTGCGGCTACGCCTCGACGTCTAAGCCAACTCGCCATCGACCAGCAGCACCCCCATTTCGCCAGCGAGCCTGCGTGTTCCTGCAAACTCATGCTCCGCCCATGCCATGCGAATGACAGCACTACACATGAACAACCTGCCCAAGAGGCGGAGGGCATGCGGGACTGTAGCCGTTCGGCATGTGCTCCGAGGGTGCCGAGCGCGGACGGGGACCCCGAAGATCAGGCTGGTGAGTGGCTGAGGACTGCTGCGAGGCAGAGCCCACATCGGATAAAGATGGATGGAATCATAACGTGAAGTCGCATTGTGATAGCGGAGATCCTTTTGATGGCCCGCCCAGGGCAACCGAAGGAAGGAGGCCGAGGAGACCGGCGGATCCGCGCGGACAGACGGGAGGAGGGGAAGCTGCGACGGGACAAACTACCTCATCAGCTGCTGCAAGCTCATGTTCTTGTCAGAGTCCTTCTTCATCACCTTGGAAACGGCCATCTGGAAGTCGTCTTCGGTGACATGCTGCCGGCGCTCGCGCAGAGCGAACATACCTGCCTCTGTGCAGACTGCCTTGCTCTCAGCGCCGCTAGCGCCGTTCATTTGTTGAGCTATCTTCCGAAGGTTGATGCCACGCATGAGGTTCATCTTGCGCGAGTGGATCTTAACCTTCAGTATGGGAATCGATCGACCCTGATCGGATTGTCCAGAGACGAAACAAGGACGGGGAGAATGCTGAAATAAAGAATATGTGAACGCCTCAGAGGGATCGGCATCCACCCCAAGATCGATTAAGAGCTCATATCAGCCAGCGTTGACTCCAAATAGATAGGAGGACAGGAGGAGGACGAGAGGAGGATGGGAGGAGGACGAAAGGAGGACGCGAGCAGGACGGGAGGAGGACGGGAGGAGCAAAATCAAGCAAGCGCAAGCAAGCAAGCGGAAGCAAGCAAGCGCAAGCGAGCATAGGCATAGGCGTAGGCATAGGCGTAGGCATAGGAGTTAGGGGGGAGGCATAGGTAAAGGCATACGCACAGCCATAGGAATTAGGGGGTCATGGGATTTAGGGAGGGCAACGGACCAATTAGTAGGGCTTGAGTCAGAACTCCTATAGGGCAAGCAAATTTGGAGAACTATTCAAACCTTCGACCCAGAGCCCAACGTTGTCGGCTCTGGGAATTCTGCGCGCAGAGCCACCCATGGTACACCAAAGCCTCTAAGCCAGCCCACGAGAGGACGATTCTGGCTCGACCACCACCAGCCATGCTTAGCACCTGGGCCTTAGAAAGCCCCCGAACTATGAACTAGTTCTCCGACACTCCAGACGAGGCAACAGTCAGGCATCTGGCTATGGAGGACACTGTCAAACGAAGGCCAAAGCAGGGTCTGGGGAGATCTCGAGAGACGACAGGGAACACCCATCTCCCTAAATCCACACCCGTACGCTCACTATGCCGATGTTCATACCCACGATACCTGGCATACACGTCCACACCCTTGCTATCCTCAACGCATGCCTCCACCCATGGTCTCGCACAACCCAGACGAAGGCCTAGTTTCCTCCTCCCCCCCCCGCCACCCACCCACAGACTCATCCTGCCCCCTGAGCTGCCGCTTGCATGATTTTGGGCTTGCAGTTCACTTTCATCGCAGTGCCAACGAAAGCCGAAAGGCTGGCCGCAGAATCCGAACGCATATCTTCCTCCAGGAGGCTGTAGGGCGAACCGAAGTTTCAGCATCAACAGCACAGCAAGGAGGTAGGGTGGGGCGAGGAAGTGGGAGGGGAAAGCTGGGCCATCGGAAGGAGGGAGGGGGATCAGGAGGAGCGGCAGGAACAGCGCCCTGGAGCAGCCAACTTGCTGCCATGCCTTGGGCGTAGAGCATCGGCGTCGGCAACGGCGGCACAAGCGGGAGGGAGCCGAAGACAAGGGCGCGAGTGTAAGGATGGGCACCACTTTGGGGGTGCAAGAGTTACTGGCCTGTAGAGGTGCACGAGTGCAGGACGCCCCGCGAAAGCGCCCTAACCAAACGTGTACACTACCGAGGAGGAGGAAGAGGAAGAAGGCAAGGAGCGAGCGGAGGAGGGGGATGGGGCAGGAGGCGAAAGACGAGGCGGCGATGGGGGAGCAGTGGGAGAATAGCGATCAAACGAGCTGTCATCAAGACGAACCACATACTGCCCGCGAGAGCACCCCCGACACACCCTTCCCCCTCCGGGTGGTTGTTGGCACCGGCGACCCCCCTCCGATCACGAGGGGCGGCCGGGGCCCCGACGATCTCCATGCGGGCGTCCTCGTTGGGATTCGGGAACTCGACCTTGCGGTCGATGCGGCCGGGTCGCAGGAGGGCCTCGTCGAGGATGTCGATGCGGTTCGTAGCCATGATCACCTTCGCCCGGCGGCCAGCTCGGGAGGGGCGCGGGGCGCCCTGGAGGCCCACTGGGCCCCTTGGAGGAATCTGCAGTGCTCCGCCTGCCTCTGCAGCCCTCTGTGCCTTTCTGCTGGCAATAAGTCGGCATGTGCATCAGCATGGGACAGGCATAGGAAAGCACAAGAACACAGGTGCCAGTGTGTACCCGCATCTTGCGCACGGGCGAAAGCAGGTACGGATTTAGCGATGCCTCGTTGTCTCTCTCTCTCTCTCTCTCTCTGTCGCTCTCTCTCTCTCTCTCTCTCTCTCTCTCTCCCTCACTCTCACTGAACACACGAATATATTACATGTATATGCACACATGTATAACTATATACAAGCACCAGCAGATGTGTGCAACTGTATAAATATATACTAGAACCACGTGCGCGCTTCGCGGGTGCTGAGTTCCTAGCACAGTCCAAGTCAACTTACTGGACTGGCTGAGAATGGAAAACCATCCCGCAAGGATCACCATCTGGGAGCGTACTCCCCGATGGACGCGTCAGGAGTCAATGGATAAGCAGGCCCTGAGTGATCCTGCTGCTCTGAGCAGCACGTGGCCTGTGGACCATAGTTCGCGGTCTTTAACACCTTCTGGACGTCTCGAGGGCCTATCCGACTATCTCGGAGGTTTGGGGGAGATTCCTTGGAATCCATGGGGGCCAATGATATGGAACAACTCAAACCATCCAAGGGCTGCCAATTTCAGTCGAAGCCGCATCGGGCGCGGCCTTGGGGATCCCTCAGGTCGTAGTGCGCCTTGCTGGGAAGCGCTAATATGTTGCACGACATACGGTACCAGACAGATGGCGCGGCTCCCTCTTCTCATAGAGGCGACGTCCAGCACGACTTCTCGCCAGAGGTATGCGTGCAGAGCGAATCCTTCCTGCTTTTTTTTCTGGGGAGCGCCCAGGAAGGCCCCGGGAAGGCGCGCCAGGCAGCCACGTCGAGGACCCAGGGAAGCCTATGGGGGGACGCCCGAGAACTCCTGGGAGTATCTTTGGATGCCTTTGGAGGACGTTCGTGGCTCTTGGAGGGCTTTGGGGGGTTCTGGGGGTGGGGTCTCTTCTGTTTTGGGTGGGTGGTGGTCTCTTGGGACTTCTTCGGCGCGTCTCGAGGGCCTCCTGGGGCTCCTGGCGTCTGGGCTCGAAGTGTCGAATGGGGTTCGCCTTGAAGAAAAGTTTGATTGATTGCCTTTTTTTCAAGCTGGACCTCCTCCTTTTTTTCAAGCTGGACCTTCCTTTTTTTCACGTTGAGGGATTCATTTTTTTCCAGCTGAGCCTCCTACCACTGAGACAGGATGCTGGGTGAGGGCGGCGGAGGAAGGAGTCAAGGAGAGATGAGGATGTGGGAGGGGGAGGCGGAAACACATGAGGGAGGCAGAGAGAGGAAGGCGTGAAGGAGAGACGAGGGAGAGGGAGGAGGGAAAATGACGCAGCGGGAAAGAGGGAGGAGAGGGAATGAAGGAGAAGGATATGGAACGGGAGGCGGGGGAGAACCAAGAGCAAAAGAGAGAACAAAAAGAACGGACAGTGCGGGATGGAAGAGACGGAAACGCACGCTAAGGCACGACAAAGCCTGGGACAGGAGGGAACGGAGGGGGACGGGCGAACATGGAAAAAAAGGATTGGAGGAGTTCCCTTTTTTTCAAGTTGGCTCTGGAGGCCCCGAAGATCGCTCCCAGAGTCCGCCAAGAGCTCCAGGGAAGCCCTCGAAAGGCCAACGCCATGGCAAAAACTCAAGAAACCTACAACTTCTATATTCTCGCACTTCCGCATCCGACACCTTCCGAGGCTTGCGCATGCCCGCGAAAGCCGCTCGGGACGCCTCTTGGGGGCACCTTGGAGCTTTCCTGGCGGCTCCTTGGGACCTCTGGAGGGCCTCTCGGGGCCCTCCTCGGCACTTCGGCACCGGGTGCCTCCGGTGCGGCTCCTAGGAGCTCGCCGGGGCCTGCTCGGAACGTCTTTGGGGCCTCGGTGGCGCCCCTGTCGGGCGTCATGGGAGCCTCTCGTGGCCTCTTGGGGCCACTTTGCGCCGCTCGGGACGCCTCTTGGAGGCCTCTTGGAGCTATCTCGGGGGGGCTTGCGCAAGCCTCGGAAGCGTGTCGGAGGCGAAAGTGCGAGTAAGCAAAAAAACATTGTTTTCCATTGTTTCCCAATGACTTTGACATCTCGAAAGCTTCCCCAGAACTCTTGGGGGACTCTTGGAAGCCTCTTGGGGCGATCTTGCATGCTCTCGGGGGCTTCCAGAGCCGTCGGGGGGCCGGCTCTGACAGCCTTGGAGCACTCCTGGGCTGTCTCGGGAGCGGCCTGGGCCATCTTCAGGCTCTCCCGGGGCTCTCTGGGACGCCCAGGAAGGCGGTACCAGAGACTTGCTGGAAGCGGGCGCGGAGTTGATGGAGCCCCCGGGGTTATGATTTACGTGTGTGCTTATACATGAATATACACATATATACATACATACATACATACATACATACATACATACATGAATTTACACACACACACACAAAACAAAAAAAAAAATGGAAGCATATATATATATATATATATATATATGCATACATACATAGATACAAACATGCATACATGCGTGCATGCATGCATGCATGCATACATACATACATACAAACATGCATACATGCATGCATACACTTACACATGCCTACATACATGCATGCATGCATGCATGCATACATACACACAGACATACATGAATACATATACATACATTATGCATACATACATATACATACCTGTACACATACACCTACTACACATACATATACACATACACATACACGTATGCATACACATTCACATACACATACATACATATACACAAACAAACATACATACATACAGACAGCCAGCCAGACAGACAGACATGCATGCATGCATGCATGCATACATACACACAACCATCCATACATGAATCCATCCGTACATGCATTCAAGCATACATGTATACCTATACATGACATGCATACATACATACGTACATGCACACATGCATGCATGCATGCATACACTTACACATGCATACATACATCCATGCATGCATGCATGCATGCATACATGCACACAGACATACATGAATACGTATACATACATCATGCATACATACATATACATACATGTACACATACACCTTCTACACATACATATACACATACACATACACATATGCATACGCATTCGCATACACATACATACATATACACAAACAAACATACATACATACAGACAGCCAGCCAGACAGATAGACATGCATGCATGCATGCATACATACACACAACCATCCATACATGAATACATCCGTACATGCATTCATGCATAAATGTATGCATGACATGCATACATACATACGTACATACACACATGCATGCATGCATTCATGCATGTATACATACATACATACATACATACATACATACATACATACATACATACATACAGACAGACAGACAGACATACATACATACACATGTACGTGCATGCAGGCATGCATGCACACATGCATACAGACATGCATCCATGCATTCATACATACATACAGACAGACAGACATGCGTACATGCATACATACATACATGCAGAAAGACAGAAACACAGACACATAGACAGACAGACAGAACGACTGACAGACCGACAAATAGACAGAAAGGCAACAGACAGACAGACAGACAGACAGACAGACAGGCGTGCATACATACATGTATGCATGCATGCTTGCATACATACATAAATGCATGCATACATACATAAATACATGCGTACATGACGACGTACAAACATACATATAGACATGCATACATGCATACACACATGTACATTCATACACACATACATGCATGCATGCATACATTCATATGGATACACAGACATGCATGCATGCGTACACGCATACATACAAACATACCTACACACATACATACATACATAAGTACACACATACAGACATGTATACATGCATGCACGCATGCCTACATACATGCATGCATGTATGCACGCATGCATACATGCATGCATACCTGCATACACATGTGTACATAGATCTATGTGAATATACACTCCACTATCTGTATATTTGACATCAGGGTGGGTGGGACCCGAAAACGGGACAAAGTACAACTAACTAGGACAGATTCCAACCATGTCGGTACCAATCCCAGCCAATTGGTACCAATTCCAACCGCTTTGGAAGCTCGATCGAGGTTCCGCAACGATTCCTTAGAGGTTCCTCAGAAGTTCCCCCGAGATACCAGACGATTCCTGGGGAATTCCTTCTGATTCCTGAGGATTACTCAGGCATGCCTTGCGAGTCCTGGGGATTCCCCTGGGATTCCTCCAGAATTCTTCCTGATTCATAGGGAATTGCTATGGAATTCCTCAGGAATGCCTGGGAATTCCTGATGGGTTTCTGATGGACTCCTCATGGCTTCCTGATGGATCCCTCATGGTTTCTTGATGGAGTCTTGCGGATCCCGGAGGATTCCTGATGGATTCGTGCGGATCCCTGAAGATTCCTGATGCGTTCCTGATGGGTTCCTGCCAGATTCCTGAAGAGAAGGAGGAGAACGAGGAGGAGGAGAACGAGAAGAAAGAGGAGGAGGAGGAGGAGAACGAGGAGAAAGAGGAGGAGGAGAAGGAGAACGAGGAGGAGGAGGAGGAGAACGAGGAGGAGGAGGACGAGGAGGAGGAGGAGTAAGAGGAGGAGGAGGAGTAGGAGGAGAACGAGGAGGAGGAGGAGGAGGAGAACGAGGAGAAAGAGGAGGAGGAGGAGGAGGAGAACGAGGAGGAGGAGGAGGAGAACGAGGAGGAGGAGGACGAGGAGGAGGAGGAGTAAGAGGAGGAGGAGGAGGAGTAGGAGAACGAGGAAGAGGAGGAGGAGGAGGAGACATAGCCTGAGGCGCGCCGGTCCATCCGAAGAGAGGACGGCGCACAGAATCTACAGGAGGAAGGCCTCGCCGCGATCGAGCACGCAGACCGCGGGGAAGGAGGCCCGACCGAATGTGCAGGAGCTAGGGGGAAAGTAAACATACCTCGCTTTTGACCACCCTCGCTTCCAAGAGATATCAAACGATGCCAGATTGCAGCCTGTACTGGTCAGGCCGCTTGACGAGGAGGCGCGTGGTATGGCTTGGTTTTGCCTGGAAGCGAAAGCGGGGTAGGTAATTCACGCTCTGAGCAGCGGCGTGCCAGTGCTCAACGGCCAGAAGGCGGGAGCACGGATGTGCCTCGACAAATTCTGACACGAACGCCCCGCCCAACCAACCCCCACACCCATAGCCGCCCCAACCTGATTCTAGACGCTGGCCGTCCAGACCGTTACGCCGCGTGCCCAGTGGAGAGAAGAACGGAGGCTGCACTTGAAACGCGGTTTGTTCCTCACCTACTGCCGGCACTGCCCTCAGACAACCAGGCAGCGGCGGGGGGGACGAGGAGGAGGCGGAGGAGGAGAGAGCAAAGAAGCCACCCTAGAGTGGGAGGCTGTTCTTTTAAGCACTGGCGGAAAGCAGCTCCAACTGTTGGTTCGTTAGTCCAGGTCCCCACCCGCCCACCCACAAGCTCCGCCCTCCCAACACCAACCCCTCCGCAGTTCATAGCTCGGCGCTCTGACGTGCCGCCAACAGGCATCTGCACGCGAAGTCGTAGGAGCACTGGGTGCTGGCTCTGCGACGCTCCAGCAAATTGTCCAGTTCGGCCTTCACGGCGTGAGAAGCCCAGTCCCCACACGACAAGCAAGCGAGGGCACGGGAAGGCGCGGGGGAGGGCAGCAAGATGCGTGAGGCGAGGGCATTGCCAACAATGGCACATCGAGTTCCGCGCCGGGCAACCGAAGTGGCAAAGCCGAAGCTTCAGGACGTGCAGTCTGTGGGACGTGAGCCACCCCGCGCAGAGCGTCTTCACCACGCACCACTGATGGGCCGGGGGTAGCTGCGCGAGCTCTCGCCGCATCGCCTGCCAGCGGAGCTCTAAATCGGCAGGCATCTCGGATGAGGGATCCAGCGCCTTTTAAACGCTTGGCGATCGTGGAAGCGAAAGTGTCGGGGAACATGGACGTAGACAGGGAGCGAACTACAGCCCTCTGAAGCCTAAGGCGCCGACCATCACGCGTAGCTTGGGTGACCTCCTCCCGGCCGGCCCCCTGGGCGGCGCGCAAGCAGGCTGTCAAGACCTGTCGACGAAAACAAATACGCATGGGGCAACCGCTAGCCACCGAATTATCCATATCATTGATGCTACGTTGCTGCTGCCAGAATGTCGGACTCAAGAACCCACGGAGCCAGGGTGTTAGAGAGCCGTGCACGCGGGCGGTTTCCGTGAGCGCATTTAGCCGAACACGCCACGCGCCGTCAATCGTGAAAGAACAGAACCGCCAAGCCGCGGCGGCGTTGCAAGTGACGGTTGAAGGGAGCCCCGCTTTGCCCCACGAGCGGAGGGAATGGAAATCGGCCAGCTTCAAGGAATCTGGGGGCAATCGGCACGCCTGTCGCAACGCAGAAATCTCGCATAGCAATGTTTTGCGATCGACTGCGAAAAACTGAACGAAACATGACGACACGGACATCGTCGATGTGGCGTAAGTGTATACATTGATTGCCATCGCAGCGCCAGCGTGGAGCTGAACACACGTCCACCAAGAGGAAGAGGAGGAGCAAGAAGAGGAGAAGGAAGAGGAGGAGGAGAAGGAGGAGGAGGAAGAGGAAGAGGAAGAGGATCGGTGCGAGACGGGGTTCGGGGGCGCGGGCGCGGGATTGACGGACCCCCCGTGGGTGACGGTTCCAATGGAAGCGGTTCGCGCCCTCGGGGGTTCGGGGTACCCCCGAAGCCATAGAAAGGGAGAGCGGGGCCGAACGGGTCACTTTGCCCCCCGCCGCCGGCGCCGAATCGTTCGCGCCCGTCGTTTCCCTTGCGGGCGCGGGGTTCCCCGAACTCTCGAGGGCGACGCTTCCATTTGAAGCGTTCCGCGCCCTTGGGGTCCCGGAAGGGGGGGGGGAGAGCCCGCGCCCGCGGGGTGTGGGGGCGGGCCGAACGAGTCACAATGCCCTCCGCCGCCGCCGCCGAATCGTTCGGCCAACGCGCCCCTTCCTGCGGGGCGGGTTTCCCCAAGCACCAGGGGGTTTCAATGGAAACGTTTCGTACCCTCGGAAGCATGGAGGGGCCACGAACCTCCGGGGAGGG